TATCTCTGGATTCCACTAACCATCTGGGGGAATTCGACCAGACTCCCAAGTTCGACTGCACTCCAAACCTACTCACTCTATCGTCCAGCCACCAGCAGCCAGCAACCAGCAAGCAAACAACCAGAAACTCATCATCCATCAGGTGGTCTAAATACCCACCTACTGACACCAATTTCTTCACATTCATAATATCATATCCCTCACACAAACCAATCCAGCCCAACAAACAAACCAAAAAGATGAATAACCCTCAAAACCCTCAAAAGTTGAAACCTCCATCCTCCCTCCACCATCCACCACTTCTAACACCTATTCTTAATCTATAAATTATATAATACTATATATAATACTATATATATATATCTAAATGACTTTCATATCTAATCTAATACTGTATAAAGATATACCCTGTATTTTGTGTTCCAATATCAATCCCAATCTCAATCTATATCTATATCTATATACTTGTTACGAGGTTTGCCGTCTAGATCACGTGGAAGTGCTCTAGGCTCTCGAGATGGTTTATAACTAAACGTCAAGCAGGGACTTAAAGTAATGACAATAATGCAATTCGTAACTAATAGTAGAGTATACTAAATGATTGATCTTGAACACGAAGCTCTATACAAAGGAAATCCATCTTGATTATATAAACCTTCATGCTTCTATGATCACCAGTAATCACCTATACCATGATCCTTAGTGATCCTTAATCATCACTACTGATCACTTGTAATCACGTGCCTTGGTCATGTAATGGTAGTTGTGTAGCCCGTCGTAACAATACTCTTCCCCTTTCTTTTTACCCCACCCCCTTCCCCACCCCCCTCTCCCCGGCGCACTCTAGAAAGATAAAAGAAATAAGAAATGAAAATTTGAAACAAAGAAGCACGAAGATGATTTATTTATTTAATACTTCAATAAATAAATAAATCTTATTTTAAATTAATTATATTAATATACTAATACACTAATTATATCATCTCAAATATATACCATCTAAATCTTACATTTATACCCATATCTATATCTATACCTATCCCAAACCAAAAAATAATCTCAAATTACAATAAATCAAATATTTCTTCCTTTATATATATATATATATTTATTCCATTAAAGTATTTCATTCGCCTATACACTCACCCGCACACTCAAACACCTATGTACTATCTTAGCTATAGCTAAATCTGCAATCCTCACCCCCTAATCCCTAATCCCTAATCCCCTATTTTCAATTCCCCTCAGAACCCAAGAAAATACTTCCAATAATTCTTCTAATAATTTCCTCTTCCTCCCTCCCCTCAAAGACATCATACCCCTCCCTACCCACCTACCACAAATCTACTATATACCCCTCAAATCCCTCTCATCTATCATATCGTACCCTACCGTACCGTACCGTATGTATCATATCACATCATACCATATCTCTTATAATATCAACCCAAAACGAACCACATATAGCAAATCCATCCCATCAAAAGCAATCAAAAAAAAAAAACTCCAGTAATTTTATTTTCGATTCGGCGAAAAAATAATCATATGATATAATATGCATGTCCTGCAAAAACCCCTTAAACACATCGCAAAAACTTCCTTGGAACTTCCTTAAAAACATATAAACACAAAATATTACTCCCAATGCCTGCATCATTATCACCATAATTTTCCCTTCCTACAAAATCGATGCATGATAAACTGAGTCCGATTACTCATTCTTCAACTACTCCTCTTCCTAGCCCAATTACCATATCCACCACCAGCCCCTCCCCCTCCTTTGCTACCCATACCCAAGCCGTCCTCCTCCGGCGTCCATTCTTCGGGTTGAAAATTCGGATTATTATAATGCGCTGTGTTATAATGACTATTTTTAAACGTGCTAGTTTGAAAACTAGGTACAGGGCCTTCTTGTAAATCAGCTGTTATGGCCCATTCGTATTTGCTAGGTCGAAAACTGGGTGCTGGTATACCTAATGCAGTTGGAGATGGAATAGCATGAGGATGAGGTGGTGGGAGTGTATGGATAGGAAGAGTCGTTTGTGTACTTTGAAATGGGTGTGGAGAGGTAATGATTGGGGTGGGAGTATTGATTGAAGTAAAAGATGAACGGGTGGGAAGACTGGTGACTGAAGTTGTGGATTGTGGCGTTGAGACCGAGTTTCCCGTAGGTGACATGGGTGATAGGGCGGTAGATAGGGCGGTAGATGGTGTAGGCGCAAATGATTGGGACATGGGAGATTGATATTGCGAAGAATTAAAATTTGAATACGGTGTTGGAAGGCTGAGACCCGGAATGCTGAAGAGGAGATCCATACTTTGGTATGCATTCATAGAGGGATTTGCCTGAGGTGAATGTTGATGGGTAAAATTGGTGGCTCGATTAACTTGGATGTTTGAGCTCATCTCAATGCTCTGCCGTAAAAGATCTTTATACAAGATGTCGTAATGTCCTGGCCTGTAGAGGAGATATATGATCGGACCTGCTGGGTTGGTGGGCTGGCCATTTGGGTCTTCAGCTTGAAACATGTGACTGTTGACTTGTGTTCCTTCACTACGATCGAGGTAGACAATCTCCACGGCAAATCCAGCAGGTTTTAATAGAACATCTATGAGTAAAGTCATACCAAGATGATCTATTTCTTGATTTGGCGGCTCCAACCAATCTTTCCTGTACTGATCAATACCACCGCCATCTGGTATGAAGCCTTGATAGTTTTGAGGATTGGCTTTAAGCCATGAGCTAGCCAGTAATCGACAATGATATACGATAGCGTTCGAGGTCTCCGAATTATTGAATCGATCCAGAATAAGGGACTCGGCAGCTTGTATGGAAGTATCCATTAGATCTGCTACATCTCTCAATAAAGAGGTGGTTTCCTCCACCATATCCTCAAAAAGCCATGCATCGAATCCCCCGGCCGTCGTGAGTAAGTTGTTCAGCGACATCATCCTCGCTAGTTCTTCATCTACTTGACCTCTGTTCCCCATCCTCAACAAAGTTTCGAAATAGGAAAACACAGCGGCTACACGCCAGACAAATCAGCTATACTCATGACGATGTCTATTGACGGCGAGTATCATTGTCCGTGTGCACGGGTATGATCAAGCACCAAGCTTAGGAGACTTACCCCGCCATCCACAATTTCCATCGCCAAGAATCGGTCGATAATGAGAATATTTCTGCGGTAATGCCTATCTCCGATGGTTAGTTTATGAGTAGCGTAGATGGCATGCATATTCTGCGATAGGGCACTTACAGATGTCTTTGATACATATATTGGATCGGCTTTCGCATATTCCTCAGTTATCGCCGTACTGCGCATCTTATCCCCCACTAATGGACCCTACTACACTGTCAGTTTCCAGCTCTATACTAAATATCCCACTCAACCCATTCCGTCGCTGTTTTGAAGCTTCCGCAGTAGAGTAAAAGACAATTCATACCACCAAAGCCGGTTGGAAATCCCTGGCTAGAGCTTCCTGAGCTTCCAAATCATTGACTCCATTGTCCTCCATTTTGTATTGTTGTTGATTGTGATGTGCGAAAGATGGTGATAAGGAAGGATTGGTGTTGGAATTATGGGATATATTAATAGTGCCCGTTACATTCGGGTTCGAATTAGAGTTCGGCGCGTTATTATTGACGGGGCTAAAAATTGGTTGCTGTGGATGTCGTGGTTGGAATTGTTGCAGGGTATTTCCTAGTCCACGTCCTGCCGCCGCACCTTGCCCCGGTTGGTTTGCAACAACAATTGAGACAAGATTATCCACGATTGTTGCAGTCGCCGGTGGTGTATGTGCGGAGGATGAACAATGGGGTAAGGAATTGGAACGTTGCGGGTGTGCGAGAGATTGAGGATGAGGATGGGAGTGGGAATGGGATTGAGAGAGTTGATGATGAAGCGGTTGTGAATTTGAAATCGAATTGTGATTGTGATTGTTAATGTTATGATTGTGATTGAGGCTCTGATTGAGGTTGTGATTGTGGCTCTGGTTGTGGTTGTGTTGGTAATTGTTGAAGTCCAGAAGTGGTGGAGGAGGTTGAGGTTGTGGTTGTGGAGATATATTTATTCCATATGGAGAGAAGGGTGAAAATGGTGTGGGTTGTGGTTGGAACATGATATGATAATAATAAGTGAAGTTTCCTTGGACCTTTCCTTTTCTTTTCTTTCCTTTTCTTTTCTTTTCTTTCTTTTCTTTCTTTTCTTTCCTTTTCTTTTCTTTCGTTCCTTCACTTCTTTTGAGATTTCTTGGGTAAATGATTTACTTTTCTCTTTTCTCTTTTCTCTTCTCTCTCTTCTCTCTCTTCTCTTCTCTCTTGCTTCACTATGGCTTCTTCCTCTTCTCCGATTTCTTCTTCTTCCTCTTCTTTATCTTCTCCTCTTTCTCTTCCTTAATTCAAAAATGCCTTAAAAGATCAAATCAATTCTTGCACTGGATTAAGTCGAATTAAATCGAATTGAATTGACTTGAATTGGCTTGAATTGACTCGACTCGACTCGACTTCAATAGTTTCCTCTCCTCACCACAATAAATTAATATATGGTAAGGGAGCGGGCAACGAACCAAATATAAAAATAAAACCAAATATGTAACAAATAACGAGCGAGTGTATGATTTGCAAAGAAGAAGCTTATTAAAAAGCTACAATAAATAAGTTAAGGCAGGCAAGCAAGCAAGCCCAAACTGCAAAAGATCTAAAATTCAAGCTCAAATGATTACCGGTAGGGAGGTAGGTAGTAATGATCGACAAGAAGAACAAGAAGCGGATGTAACAAGCAAAGTACGCAAAGAGTCAAAAAGAGGAGACTTTGAGAAACGATGTTGGAAAATCAAAAAAAAAAAAATAATAAAATAATGGATAATAAATAATAATAAATATAAGTAAATAAATAGAGTTTTTATTATTATTTTAAGTTGGCTAATTGATTGACTTGATTGACTTGACTGATTGACTGATTGATTGACCGATGGATGAATGGATGGATTGGTTGATTGATTGTGTGATAGATAGATATTTATTTGATATTGATATCGATCGATATTTGATATTGATATTTGATATTGATATTTGAATATAACGTTGCCGTGAAATTGATGCAGGTTGCAGGTGGATGGATGAAGATTTTCTTTGCTTAGCTGTATCGAATGTCTTGGGTGCTTGGAAAGTGGCTTTTTGGGCGCAATGGGCTAAAGTTTATTGGAGTCGTCCGGGAATTTTGTACTTTATGTGGTTTGATTTTGTGCAACACACCACTAAAAATTAACAACACAGTAAGTAGCAGTCGTAGGAGGTAAAATGGAAAGGGAAATGGAAATGGAAATGGAAAATGGAAAATGGAAAAAGTACTCAACTGAGTCAAGTGAGTAGACTGATGTACCCAGTACGCACGCAGTACCCAGCTCACAGCTCACAGCACGCACGCACGTAGTATGATAAAGTACGGAGTAAGGTAGACTGATGGGTACCAAAATATATGTACTGGGGTACTGGCTACCAAGAAGTAACAAGGGGAAGGGAAGGGAAGGCAAGTGAGATAATGTACGGGATAAAATGTACGGAGTATGTATGTATGTATGGGGAGAGACAGGGTATCGTGCTAAATTCCAGATTTAAGGACCAGACCATGTACCGAGTAGGGACAATGAAGGGGGTGCTTCGAGTAGATGGATGTACTGTAGCGAGGGTGGATGAACGAGTGATTAACTGATTGACTGAGCGGGTGAAGTGGAGTCGATTGATGATGGATCTGATGATGGATCCGTTGACTGACTGACTGACTGATGGATTGATGTGTTTCTTTGTCGTAATTTATTTTATATATCTTCGCCTTTTTTTATGGTGGATTCAATTCGACTTGAGTTGTTCTCTTAATATCTTAATACCCTTAAACCATTCCGGATGCTTGTCGTCGTAAATCTCTTCGATTTCTTCGTCTTAGCTCCCTCCCTCTCTTCCCTCCTTTCCTTCTTCTATGCGAGAATCCTGACTCCCGATCTCGGTATCATTTATCAAGGCGATGTATCTCCAATAATAGTAACTCTGACACCTTTCCCCTTTCCTTTTTTACTCGTTCGTATATCTTTTAGATCCTTCTCGACTGTCTGTCTCGTCTTCTTTCTCTTCGTTCGTCCGCTCGATGATGAGTTGGGTTATGCATATACCGGTGACCTTACAGCAAATCCAGTACCAGGGCCCCGCTCAAAACCGTTCGTTCATTCGGGCTTTAAAACTTTCGTGTCCTGTAGGGTCCCCCCCGTTGGCCTTGAAAAATATGCAAAATCTATGTAGAGTAATATCTCGCTTCTTCTCTCAAGTCGCTTTTAGATTCAGCCAAAAATGCAGTGGGTTTGAAAAATTCTTCCTAACGATACAACAACATGTACAAGAGGAGATCGGAGAGGGATAAGTAATCATGGAGTTAATAATTCCGTGGTTCGTTTCTTGTTTTTGATTTATCCTGGGTAGAAGTTGTCGTGTTTTTGAGGCGTGGTCGATATTGTTGAATTAGACTTTGGGCTTGATCTCATCGATGTAGCCTGATGTATGGCTATGTAGGAATTGTATGGCAATGTTCGATTCGATATCGTACGGCAATGTATGTAACGGCCCCACCTTTCCTCCTGCACATGCCCGATGTATTCTTCCTCCGTCGGTCGTGGAGTTGCAGCTGGGTCAGATTTTCTTTCATGCTCGGCTACTAATTTACGAAGTGCATAATACTGGCAAGTCAGAAGAAATTCATAATTCTCGTATCTATATTCTATGCCTGTCGGTGTACGTGCG